GGATACAATTTTGACAGTGAATGGATGAGAGGAAATGCTTTTCATTTCCACATTACCTAAAGAATGACAGAAAGAATGCTGTGGCCACTTMATAAATTTCTTCTACTTTTAAGAAATAACCTGTTCTCTACCTAGACACAGGAACGATCTACAGAGTAGAAAAATCAATTGTCTGAAGAACATATTCTGAAATCACTGACGTGGTGATGTTCAGTAAACATGTAAAGGGCCCTCTGGACCTTTGTGGAACTCAGTTAATGTGATTTGCAGCAYTGCCTCTGGTACAAAAGCCCTGGAGCAAAAGCAGGACAACTTGTCATTCCTCACCCTGCCATGGGAGGATGTGGATGATGGGGAGCTTTTTCTTCTTCTGTTTTAAGCAGAAGGAGTCAAACATGCATTCTCCACAGAAAATGACAGCTGTAAACCAGACCTGGAATTCCATTTTCACCAATAAACCTGGAAGCAAAAGCTGCCCCAGCCAGGCTGCCTGCAGAAGGTCACAGTAGCAAGAGATGGGTCAGGCAAGAAAATCAAGACTGAAAACAAGTTCCTCCATCCCTGATCCACAAAAGGCAGAAAAGGAGGACAGCAGATTAATGAAAACAGAAAACAAAACAGTTCTTGCGGGAGAACGGTCTCACAAGACTTTCAAGGTAATCTTTAGTCCAAAACAGATATAAAAATACTCATAACATCTTAAATACTAAGTACTGATAATGCTTAATTAAGTGGGCTTGGGGTATTTGGGGCATTTAGGACATGCAAGTGTCTCAGTCCTGCTGAAGGGAGATGGGTGCTGAGAAGAAAGTGGAAATTTCTCTCCCCATGAAACACAGCAAAAAATGCAGAGACCCAGCTTCTCTGAAGATGCACASAGATTGATCAACCATCTCAAATGTCCAAACATTCTGCTCAATAACGTCTAGGAAAATTTGATTTCTACGGTTATGACCTTTAAAAGGAATAATCTGGACAAATCTGATGACAGCATTGTCTTTGGTACGCTCTGCAACCCTCACGTGGCCTGAGCTGTGTCACAGAGCTCAGCACTGAACTGTGGAGATGTGGCACCAGCTCACGAGGCTGCTCAGCCTTTGGGACAAGGAATGTCTCTGGTTTGTCACCCTAAATCACCTGGAATTCTTCTGGGAGACAACAAACACAAACCAGAGATCTTTGCCCACACCAGAAGTGATCTTTCAAAGAGCTGGGGAGGAGAACTGATCAAACCTTACCTGGAAAATAATCAATATTTCCTACATGTGAGAAATAGCAAATCCCTTCTTTGCACCAGCACCACATGGAAAAACTTCCATTGACAGGAGGGTGAAAGAACAGGAGCACAGGAAGTCCTGGACAGTAAAGACATATTAACTGCTATGTAAAGAAATCATCTTGTAAGGAAGGATTTTTCAGCTACTATCCCTCCAAACCCAGAGATGGGGATGAATGCCAAGGCCTGAGGAAGAGTGTTTATTTGCTGCCATCAGAACCAGGGCTGCTGCTAAAAACCCAGTTTATATTTCCCCTTTTTGGCCCAGTTTTCAGCTTGGAAAGAAGCAGAAAAAGATGCAAGTTGGAACTTGCTTCTCTCAGCAGAAGATCTCAAAATGTGGAAAAATGAGCTCTTCACTAGAGAGGTGAAGAGACCTCCTCAGGACACTGTGAAGAAACACAAACCATTTGACACTGAAGGCTGAGTTTTGTCTCAGACTATCCATGTACATGCCTTCTAACAAGACTTCAAACCATGCAGTTTTCCTCCAGGAAAAGTAAAGTAACAGGTACCCAGAAAAGAATCACGGGGATTTTTCTGCTTCAAATGAAGCTACTCGTACTGAAATGCCTGCAGTGTTAACACCCTGGGAGAGCAAGCAACAGCTCTCCTTCCTGAGCCACCTGAAACAATTTCCAACCCTACATCATATATCTCAAAACTTCCAGGCCAGTACCTAGCACCCTGATCCAGAAATTGCATGGTCATTTCATGCATCTTTTCAAGACTAAAAAAATTATATAAATGTACCTAATGAGTTCAGAACCTTGTTCACTCAGAAGAAAATATATCCATTGGCAAATCTTGACATAAAATAAACACGTAATCCGTTTCAAATATGGAGGGAGCTGCAAATACTTGAACTCAGRATGAGCATGGAAAATTTTCTTTATGAAGTTAGAATAGGTCTTTGCTTTTCTACTTAGTGGATTTTTAGCAAGACGAGCATTGTAGTGCCACATGCAAAATACACTGAGAAGGGGGAGAAATCAAACAGCTCCTACTCCTACAAGTGCAGTCAGGATAATGTAAAACTTACAAGTAAACTGAAAGAAACTCAGTCTTTGTGTGCATCAATTTCATGAGTCAACCTGTGTGCTCCTGCCTGACTCGCAGCTATGTCGAGTGAGGCAGSAGTATTTCCAAATCATTATCCTCTCCAAGTGCTTTCCTCCTCCATCAAGCATTCCTAAGCTCTTCTCTCTCCACAAAAGCAAAGACAAGATTATTTCCTCTCCAAGCACAGCCCACTCAGCCACAGCTGCCATKTCTGCAGCAGCCAGACCACGCAGCCCTTCAGCAGGAATGGTTTTCCTCAGGTCAAGTGGAACACACGCCTAATAAAAAATTCCAAATAGCTTGTATGAATTAATAAACAAGCCTTCYGTGCTGTTGTGTACTTACAATAACAGTTTTCAGATATGACAGCACAGCTACAAATGCTCTGCTGTTTGACCTGCAGCAGAATTTGGATTTACCAGCCCCCAGCAGCAGCTCCTGAGGGATTTRCCCCCTCCACAGCCCATGGCAAGACACCACACGGATCAAGATTTCACCTAATAAATGTTCACCTTCCTCTGCAGTCCCTGGTTGTATCCTACACCCGTTTGCTTGTTCTTTGACACGAGTTTAACATGCTCCCATAAAATGCCAGACACAAAATCCACCACGAAGACTGTCCTAAGCAGAACCCATGTGATAGCAAGGAACTCTGTGGGTCCTGTGAGGTTTAAATGAGTTCATCTCAGCTGTGACAAAAAGAATGCAAAGCTTCTCCTGTCACCTTAAAATATTGACAGAATGGGTTTTACAGACACCAGGTGAATTCATTTCTAAAATAAATCAAATTGTCTCTAAAATAAGCATTCATCTTGTCCTGAGGTACAACCAGAATCATACCATGATGYTCTCTTTCCTTCATCCAACACAACTTTCTACAATAACTTCAACATTCAGACAATCATGGAATTGTAGGACGCACAGAACTTGCATTTTCTCACTTTTCTTGAATTATGACAATACACATCATAAATGAAGACAGAACTGAGCAATAAGGCCATGTAACATTCCAGCACCTGTAGAAGTTAGATAAAGGGTGTTTCTAACTACTTTGATTCACCCACACAGCTTCTTACTACACCTTGAAATGTAGATTCAGTTAACTTACTGATTCAGAATTTTAAATTCAGTGAACTTACTGATCAGGTAAAGTCTCCTAAGTATAAAGGTTTGTAGACTCCTTTTAGACTCCAAATACCTTTTCACTGAAAATTTCCTCTTGCTGATCATTTTGTTTCACAACAATATTTACATTTTTCAGATTTTTGGCTTTTGTAACACACTTTATTTTGAGAACACAATGTCCCCCACTGGAAGTCAGCTGTTGTACTTTGAATCTCCCCAGATTTAAATCTCTAATGTCATTCCTCATGGTCTTAAACTATTCCTGYAAAACTATTGCTCCTGCAGTGGGGAATTAAACCTTCCTCTAATAACAAGGATTCAAAATACTAAGCAGTTAATACTAATAGTTAAGAGCTCTATTTTTCCAACAACTTTATATTTAAAACAGATTAGGCCAGAATGACCACAGCTATTGTACTTGCAAGAGATACTTCATTTTTAATTTGAGGAATGTGCCTTGCTAAGTTGGCTGACCTTAACAACTCAGTGGGTACAAAATGTCCTCAAACTTCGTTCCTCRCTGGTAATTATTCCTTTCATTAATTCTGTTCAGTGGTCAGTGTGGCCTGGACATGACTGTGCAGCATTGTCCRAGCTCCTAAACCCTCACAATTTAACCACCAGCACAGGGTGTTAAAGAGACATTGGTGAAGAATGCTGAACAGCTCTGACTGTGCTGAGGGTGCATYCACAGTGTAAGCTGTTTTTTACTGCAAGTAAGGCAAGATCACAGTTAGCTCATGTTGTAAGATGCCATTACCAGATTCTGACAGCAGAAAATGGAAAACGGTGACTTTGCTGAATCATTTCTGCTGTGTCCCGATCTGTGGTTGCAAGACACTGAGCTAGGGCAGTCCAATTTTACCCACAGAAGTATTTTTTTGGCAGTAACTAGATGCTTTTTGTGAGACAAACCTGGAAAAGACTCAAGGAAAGAGGTTTCACAGCTGTATTGTGAGAAACGCTCTCACTCGAGACCCTCCCTGTTGTGTTTTGAACAAAGTCTCAAAGACAGCAAAACTGTCATGAAACTTCTGCCCTTTATTGCTCCTGTTCTGTTGGATGAGCTGATTTTGGATTTAACTTATTGTATGATACCCAGTTGCTTTATTAAGATGAAAAATACTGACTTCTGGATACAAAAATACATGAAGAAACACCTGACAGAAGCCAGGGATCAATTCCAGCTATAAAACAGCCTTTTCTTTAGCACTGACAGAGCAGAGACCACAGGAGAGGTCACATCYATGCTTCCACCTGTCCTGTACCTCAGTGACCAGCGTAAAGTGTCCATGGCAGGGGGACAGAAGGAMACTCTTTATTCTGCACCTTGATCTCTCAGACAGCTCCCAGGAGTCACCAACACTGTGCTGACAATTAAAGAATTAGGAACTCCTAATTCTAAGGTATGCCCAGAGGACTGGGAGTTATATACAACCAACACCTCTGTTTTTGAGCCACTGCAGTGCAGAAACACTTCTCTGTCACATTTATACATGAAATTAATGAAGCCATGATAAAGACACACAAAACTTACGTAGTCATGGAAGGCTTTTGCTTCACTCGAGTGCTCACATGTTTCTCGTCTCTCTGGAGCTGCACAGTAGAGATCCCAAAACACACTGCAAGGGAAGAGGTGACAGGGAGGGTGAGAATGTCACTGTGGTGCTCATGTGGATTTCACAGTGTACTCACACCCTACATGGGTGTTCCTACACAGAATCATCGCTTGTTCTCCAAAGGATGGGAACACTCACCTCCAAAGGAAAATTGGATTTCAATTTTAATTTATAAAATTGATTTATAAATCATCTATGAGGAACCAAGTCCTGCCACCTGATCTCTGAGGCAAGCAGAGCTCTAGTCCTACAGACMAAGAATCTGGTCTAATATGTAAGAATATAAAGTGCATTGTTGTGCATTTAACCTTATCCCTCTGGCCACTGCTGCAAATCACTTCCACAAAGCATGGAAAGAGATGAATTTATAACAATGTGGAAAGAAAAGAAACTGGAAAGAAAACTGGGAGTCCTTCCATGGTCAAAGAACCATACTTTGGTTTGGATTGGAAGGATTTTAGAGCCTGTCCAGTCCCCATCACCTTCCACTATCCCACACTACTGCAAGTTCTGTCCAGCCAGGTCTTGGACAATTCCAGGGGTGGCATAGCTTCTGTGGACAAATGCCCTGTCCTGTGCTTAAACCCAAGTTCCCTGAGGATCTGGGCAAGCACAGAACATAAATGTGCATGTTCTTAGGTCGTGAAGAGTGAAAGAAAGCAGATTATGGTACATAACCCAATTGGTCTTCTTCCCCCAGCCAAATTCTTCAACTGGAGCTATACACCAATCACTTCTACCACAAAGCTTCTRGAATGAAAYCMTGTGTATGCTAGAATGATTTAATARTAAATTTGATAATAAAATTTGAMRGAGTTTCATAGCAKTTTTTTCCTGGTTTAGGCTTAATCCTCTATAACTTAATCCAGCACCATAATAGGGATTTATGGACAATTTGAGCAGTCTGCTGCAGACAATCAAAATTAAGGATAATGCAGACATTAGAGATAAAAGGGACACGTTCTTGCCAGGCTTCCATCACTCTGCTARAAGCTGTGAAAAAATGGTCAGAGGAGGAGACACCACTTCCCATGCAGCTGTGCAAATTCTCTGGGYTCAAACAGGACAGTTTCAAAACTCGTGAATTCCTGCACTGCTGACAGCCAGCTATCTTCTTTGCACTTCTGCATTCCCTCAAACACAGGCTTGTTGGATATATTACAACCATGGATAAATTCCATGGCTACACAGCAGTGTCTGTGAGMACTCTTCTTCCCTGGGGAATTCTACACACACGGCCACGGACTGAGCAAGCTCACATCTACACAGAGTCCCTGTATTTACTGGGTTTTCTTTGCAAATGCAAGTATTTATGACATGTACAAAGATCCTTTAAGTGTAAAATGTGCTGGAAGGTGGTGAAGAAGCAAAGTCAGGCCATCTTCTTTCTAATCAACACACTACGCACAATTTTTTTTTTTTTTTTTTTGATCCAATATTCATAAAATTTCCTGCATCTAATTTTCTGTTATTTTATTACTTCTTAATACTCATCCTCTCATTCTTCTTACAGTGTTCACCTGAATTTCTTGCCTCCAGCTGCTGAAATTGGCCATTGACATATTCTAAAAAAATCAGAGGARAAGAAAACTGGTACTTACCACCACCAGGAATGCAAGAATCCTGGGGGCTCCCCCAGTGTGATGTTTTTTTCCCATCTTATCTAAAACAAAATGACAAAAACAGAGGTGTACCTTCTTGTGATCATTGWGACTAAAAAGCATTACATAATTCAGACAGAAAAAGGATGAGGAAGAGAAGATTTCACGGTTATGAAACGCTTTATGGTCATCAATTTGGATGCTCTATTTACTTACTTCTATACAMTTATTGATAAAGGTGATAGTTAAAATTAGCCCTTCTTATGCTAAGGAAGCATTATTTTAGAATTTTATTCCTTGGRGATTTTCAATTCTGAATAGACTGTGCATTATTTTAAGGTCAAAAATACATGATTAAGAAAGTGATGACAGTAGAATCAGATGATAGAAGCGGAATTCTCTGCTGTGGATTCAGCAGGTGGCACTCTTCCCCCCGCAGCCAGGCCAGCAGTGTTTTATAACCCTGGAGGATCCTGTCACAGGTAAATGTGGCAGCTCTGCCACAGCCCCGTGTCCCCCACCCAGGACAATGCACAGCAGCTCTGCCTTGGCTTCCCTGGCCTTCCCAAACACCAAAACTGGGTTTGTGTGGCACTGTTCTCAAAGGAAAGGCAGYTGAAGAACCCTCACACTGCTGCTGTCCATCAGGGAGCCCACAGAGCCCACAAATCTCAGTGACAGCGCCTGTCTCTCTGCAGAGCTTCCCAAATGTTGTACCTGAACTGTAGCCACACCACCACCTCTCCATGCCACTCAGCAGCCTGATCTTAACTCCAAAATTAAACATTGGGGCTGTAATAATGCCCACAAAACGCCCATCCAGAGTGTCAGAACTGGGTGGGATCTGAGGCGTTGTGTGCGCTCCCAACTCTTCCAGTTACAAAGACAAACAGCATCATTWCCTGTCCAGCTCAGTTAGAAAAAGGAATTGTTCAAAGCACAAAATGTACTCTTCTCTAGAGACAGAAGCAATGGCAGACAAGAAGAAGGTTATTTTAATTTGATGCTTAAACAGCCTTAATATGAAGGGAGTTTAAAGAGATAGATCCATATACATATATGTAAAAGTACATAAAAGCTTCATATTAAAGTAGATACAGTGTTCATACTGCCAGGTGCCCTCCTAAAGCTGGCATTTGACAAAGACACTCAAGATTCTCAAGACCAACTTGATTTCCACATCCAATTCTTATGAAATTTGAACACCTACAACTTTCCTCAATAGCTTGCAGAAAGAAGAATATGTAGCTCATATATCTAAAAACATATACACTTATATGAAAATCCATATAAAAAAAAATCTCAAACATGATGAAATCTAACACAATTTTGATATATGAACACAATAATTCAAAAGTAATTTTGCCATTTAAAATTGTTTATAAGATATAACCTTGAGCCACTGTCAATTCAGTTGGCGAAGCTGGCAGAATGAAGCAACATTCCTTGCACAGTAATTAATATATTAAAAAAACCCATATTTTATAAAGTTCCCACTTAAGTGCTGGCAGAAAAAAAATAATGAGCATTCGAAAGGCAAAGCTACAAAGGTATTACAYACTCTTCAAATACAGTTCTCTGAGGCACAGCTGCTCCTCATGTGCCCTGGGAACAGCTTGGAAAGACTTGTAATAATAATCAGGAACACACAGTACCTCTGAGAAGTTTCAAAATAACATCATGAAGAGATGCATTGTACAACCAGAACAAAAAACGGTGTCCTGAAGCAGAGAAATCATTTGCCTAAGAGTAAAAATTGTATCTGTGTAGAGCACACGCATCATGTCCAAGCAGTGTTTGTTTTCCCCAAAGAAGGGCCTGGTGAGGAAATTACCCAATTCAGGTCTTTTGTAGGTCCTGGAACACAGTTCAAAGGAGACTAAAGGGAATGTGGAAGTTTGGGGCTCTTTTCAAGGATTTTTTTTTTCTTTTTTCAAAATATCCATGGCAGATGAAGTCTGTCTGATCAATGAGATTTAGCAAGAATTACTAATTACAGAAAAAACCCAAACTTGTTGTCAGCTGGTGAAGCTCACAGCCAGGGAATGATTTAACTGGGAAAAGCCCACCTCCCTGGTCCAATCAGGCTGGACCCTCCCCAGGAATTATCCCTCCAAGGCTGGAATCTGACTGACAGCGAGAAAATATAAGGGAGAAGTCTCAGCTCTTCAAGGGAAACATACAGAAGTCAAAATAGACACAAAGCATGACAAAAACCAGGCGTGCTCAGGAYGAGCATCTTTGAGTTATAGAGAGTGTATTCACAGACATCCATCTTACATTTTCCTTTAGTTTGGTTCCATTGCTCTGTGCCACAGTCCCTGGCAGACCTGTGAGAGAGGACTCTTCACCCTTAGACATCACTGGCTGATCCACAGCTCAGTGTGTGTGTGCTCACTTCTCTGAGGCCCAAACACTCAGTTTTGGAGTTACTGTGAGCTGTTTAACTTTTAAATGAAACCCAAACTGAGAGAGCATCGAACCCAACAGCCATAGGACCATTCACAAGAGTTGTCAACAGCACATTTATGTTTCTGTTTATCAGTGAGGGAAATAAGCTCACAGCTCATACCTCATATCCCCTCTGTGCACTGCTAATTGTCCCTGACCTGTGTTGACCATCTCTTGATGAGTGACAGTCTCAATCTGGAAGATTTGAATATCCTTACATTTTGTTATTCAGACCCGAGTGTTTCTCTGTAACTCAAGACTGAATTAGTTTTAAAAGCTGTGTTTCAAGACACAKTATTTAATGTTTTCTGGAAATCCGGATCTCATACCAGCCATGCTTCTGCCAACTGCTCATTTTGCAAATACATCATAAAAACAAAGTGAGCAAAATTTACCTTGTGCAATGCATTATTTACAAATGACAGCTGTTTTGGGAAAGCCAAGATGATACTCTACGTTATTTTATCTCTTATTTTTCCATTGCTTTACCACAGAGATARAACAATTGTCAAAACATACTTTACTGTAAACATAAACTGATACAATTCTACGCTTTTTCCCTACCTCTGCTTTGTCAGTTTTGTGTAAACAYCACAAAGAGTGCTCCGGGTTTTCATTTTCCCTTCTTCCACCTCCAAAATGTCATCGTGTCATCACCAGCACAATAATTTTATTAGCTTTTGGAGGACGATCAGCTGAAGCAGCAAATTTTCCTAGCAGAACATCTTGCCTATTTTTTTCCCCAACTTCTGCTCAATATTCCAACTACTCTTTTTAATTTATTATTAGTGTTAGTATTATTAGTGTTATTAGTATTTTATACAGTCTTGCTCAAGATTAACAACAAAAAGACTTCAATATGTTCAGCGACATTTGTATCTCAGGACAAAAGTAAAATGCTAAGGAGACGTAATTTACTTCAACCTGCAAAAGATGCATAGCAAGTCTTTAAAAGACTATTAAACAAAATAAACTATTGTGTAGAGGCAGAAATTCCATTAGCAGTTGAAAATGTTTCAAAAAGCAGGACCTAAGTGTTCGCAGCCATCATTGATTCAACAGATGAAAAGAAGTGAAGTGGTTAAAAGAGCACAGAGGGATCAGCAGTGCTTCAGACAAGGAGAACTGATGGTGTACCACAGGGGGATGCAAAATACATTTAGAAGGGCCCATCATTCACAATCGGAGATATCAAGAGGAAGTCAAAAGGTCATCAAAAATGAGTGCCACTGAAGTGTTCTCCAACATCCCACTTATTAGAGAAAACASATTAATCTTCCCCAGTGCAGAATGGGGATAACAAACCACGGCAAAAATGGTWACACAAAGTCACGTAAAATGACGTGGCAAACTGGATTCCAAGGATGAGGAGCTGCTGATTGAGGCAAACTGATACCTGAAGTTCTCAGTGCTGTTATTCTAGATCAAATAATACTTATTTCACTTGGAAGTCATGTAAGGAAACTCACCTCTGATAGAAACGTCTGGGCTGATTTCTGTGCTCCTACATGGAGCAGGTATTCATATACATACAGTGCTAATCTGAAAAATAAGCAGAAAGAACAATATTTAGTATTGTGCATTTGTTTGCTCCTCTTCTTTAGAAACAAAAGATTATCACAAGTTTGAGGTGCACCCCACTGCSTTCCACAAACCACAATGTACTGAACGTGCCAGATCTGTTACCTCTACTGGAATTTTTCAACCAGACATTTAGGTCAACCTGACCMGAGTTGTTTAAATAGTCGTTAATTRAAACATTATTAAGCCCCCAAATTACTTAATGTCAACATTTTTAATTTCTGGACAAGTGCCCAGMGAGCTAACAAGTGACCTGGTGCTGCTCTGAGTGAGCGTGCTTACTGTAAATACAACATATTCATACAGCATCACTGCTTGTTTTTCCAGGTCAGCTTTTTCAACATGTGGAATGTGTCAAGCTGTTAGCACACTTGAAAAACAGCCCTGTGGTTTTCCAGAGGACATGGAAACTCCAGGCTGCGTTGGGAGAGGTGATGGCAGCCTCAGTGCATGGCACAGCCGAACAGCCACAGCTCTACAGTGAAGGGAAAACAGATCCTGAGATTGATCCAGACCTGGGCTCTGATGGCAGCGAGTGACAAACAACTGCCACAGCTCCAGGTGACTGCCCAGAGCCTCCTGTCTGTCCCTCTGGGAGCCTCCAGCCTTTCCAGAAGGAGGAGGAGGAGCAGGAGGAGGAGGAGGAGAAGGTGTCTTTTATATTTGCTACCTGTGCTGTTTCTAAGAAGTAAAATGTACTTGAATGCACCTAGTGATATGCATCTACTCTTACTTGAAACATTTTATTTTCAAAATATTTATTATTTTAAACATATTTATTTTCAAAAACCTGCAGATAACTGCACCACAGAAAGAGGGAGAGTCTTTGTCTTCCTGTTACTGTTTGAAACCCCATGCCATGTTCTATGCAATAATTGCACCACTGATGGATCAGTAATTATTGCAGTGACCCATTAAGGGTAAAATTTTAAAATCTCAGAGAGGCATTCCCCAAAAATGATTTTCACTAGTTGTTTGTATACACAATACACATGCTTATTACCTTACTCTCTGACCAACTTCAAAAGAAAAGATGCACTTTTTTCMTCAAAATGAWTACATATAATTCAAACATATGACTTGTTTTAGTTTGACCTAAGTACTGTGGGGAGAGAGGATCTATTAAGAGCTGACTTAATTCTTCCCAGTYCAACCACCATCCAAATTTTAAGCAATAAATGTTGTAGACAAAATCTAAGACAGATGTGAAAGGCAGAGAAATGCTTTTCAGCTACAGCCAACACATCCTGAATATCCAGTAATGCTTTAAAGCACCTCATTTATCTTACAAGATTCCCTTTTTTGTTCCTATCAAACATGAAGCCAGCAGTCCAGCTAAAAGGATTTGTGTGATCACATCCCTCCTGCCCCACGAAGGAAAGCAAGGCAGCACAAACCCCGTGTTTATTGCATGGGGTTTACGCCACCCCAAGGACTGAAGTTTTGGCAAACAGGGCACCGTGATAACCACACCGACAGCACAAGACTGATGACCAGAGTGATTTGTGACTCCTCTCAGAACTCCGGGCACACCTGCTGAGTGCTCCACACAACCCAACATCCCTGCCTGTCCCCACATACTCTGCCCCAAAAACTTGTACAAGATATTCAACACTGCATCAAAAAGACAACCCCAAAGCTTTTGGCTTAAACACACAGAATCTATTAATTAAGCACGATAACTGTTAACATTTCCAGCTCTGTGACAAGTGCTGTTACCTCTTGGGCTAAACAAACCCGCAGCGCAATGAAACACTGTTTAATGAGTGCATGGAGGGTAAACGTGGTAGATTTCAGTAAAGAATAAATGACCAGGCTTTTGGCTGTGACAAACCCCAAGCTGGACAGCTGTGACCACCTCCGGACAGATGTGGAACAGAAGCACAACACAGAATAACCCGAGTGGCTCTCATCAAATCGCTATCGCCCGCCCAGCGCTGGTTATTAGGCCGTCAGGAAGTCTTTACRGAAGGTAACAATATTATAGGCTCATTCGGAAATAAATGCATTCACCGCAGAGATCAAAAGAGAGATACCAATGTTTCACTGTCTCGCAGCCGAAGGATCAATGGGAAACCGACGCCAGAGACGCCCGAAAAGGTGCAGCGCTGTGTAACAAGGAGGAATACCAAATATACAAACTGTAACTACGGGCTAGGAACAGAGTGAGACAAAAACCAGGCTACCGTTCAAGTGTGTAAAATGAACAGATTATTAAACCATTTAACATTCTGACAGAAAACTAAGAAAGTAATAGTGAGGTGGTCTTCAGCACCAAWAGGCTTGGGTTTGAAGTGACATTTTAAAAAGACAGTTTTTACTCATTAAACTGCTGTGAGAAACCGTGTAGAAGCAGCAAGCAGACATATGTTGAATTTTCACATTTGCATACTTGTTGACATCCCATGAGTAATGTGAGGAAAAAATATTTCCAATCAATTTATGACAATGCTGCAGTAATTTCTGTTAAAGACATGACACAGGCCAGAGTTCCCCCTCCCTGCCAAGACAATTAACGCACACATTCATCTGTACCCTGATGATACATTCACTCCATTAACAAACAAAAAAGGTTAGTGTCTGACTCATGTTGCAAACCTGGTGCACTTTGCCTCAAGTTTCTGCTSTAATTGGACAAGGCGTTCCTACATCCCACAAGCAGCTACTGAATTCCAAAGAAAARAACCATTTAAGTGGTTCAAGTCAACCATTTATCAGAATATTACCAGGAAATAAACAGTAATCCCTTTAACTGCACCCGTGGAAATTACATTCTTACATTTTAAAGATGGGGAGATGCAATTAGCTTAATGAGAACTTTCAACTCAAGCCTTGCAGAAGTATTTCCATTGGTGAAAACATGGTGAACTCACCCCATTCCAAACCAAAAGACTAAGATTGCACATCACAGAAGTGTTCCCACCACTTCCCCCGTCACCAAGAACCATTACGCTGCTAACATCTGATGCTGGATGTAAAAAAATAAAGTATCTATAAYGGGAATGTTCCAGATCTGAGCATCACCGAGATAACATTTATAGCATTTTTAAATTGTTAGGACATAATTTTTTGAAAACTCTTCCTGTATGGAGAGTTCAGCATATGGCACACCATCCACTTAACTTTTGGTGGGTTCAAAACAGTAATTAAAGAACTAGAAAATCAATATCCATACATAATTGTACGTTTGAGTGAAGCAGCTGAGCAAGATTAAAAGCAACTCCATAGAAAAGATCTTAAATGTTATTCTTCACATTTCAGAAGACTTCATGTATACCAAAATGACTACKCTGAACTATACAGAGAAGTAGTTTTTTTAGTTGTTTCCAAAAATCTAAATAGACTTCAGTTCAAATCCATATTTCATTTCAAATCCTARGAACCCCACTCATTCACATCCAAATTACAAATCTCATCCTCTGGAACAAGTAGCACCAAATGTGTATCTTAAGGTGGGACAGGTTTCTGAACAAATTTTCTTCAATCTGTCAATCCAGTTTAAAACCTGCTCCAAAGCTCCTGGTGGTGAGCTGGTTTTACCAAGTTTCAACAAACAATGGCGAAAAATCCTTCTAGGAAAGTTTATGTAACAAATAAAGATATGCCAAACCACGCTTTCTGGCCTATTTGGTCATACTGAGAGTCATTTTTCTTCTTCTCTCTGTCTCTCACTCTCCCCCTGTTTTAGCATATTTATATGCTAATTTCTCCCTATATATTTATTTTTGGTTTTTTTATATATAATCTTTTCCCATACATCTCACCTGAGATTGAGGTGATTCAATCTGCTGCTAACCACCCACCCCAGAGAGGACTGGACAAGGGGCCAGATGAGCCATGGTTTTGGATTAAATTCAACCACTACCTGAGAAGTTCAGGAAGATTTTCCTTTGTGCTTAGGCGGGTCCATGAGGGATTTCCCYGCACACTCCCAGCATAGCAGCAACCCAAGGGTCAGCTTTTAAAGAAGCTGATCCCTCTCCTCGTTCACCCTGCTTTCACAGACAGGGAAAGCCTTCACMCAGCACAGCTCTCCTCTCTTTTCCACCTGACCCTTGCAAGATGTCCTGGAAATTCACCTCCTGTAGTGTGGCCACCCTGCTTTTGGTTAATGCTCTGACAGCATCATAAACAACAGCAGGGGTTTTCAGTTCACCCACGGACTTGCAGCTCACAAATTATTTTTTCCCATTGCATCCTAATTTCACATGTTTTTGCCACTGAAACTCCCGCAGATTTCAAACAGCGGCACGGCCATTTCCAACCATGTGCTAAGTTGAGCACCAGTGTGTAACTAAACTCTGAATAGGTATCTGGTATGCACTGATCTTTCCCAAAAGATCAGAGATGTGTGCCATGGCAGTGTCGGCAGCCTCCCTCACAAGTGGTTAATTGCATGGTTTTACACATTTCCATCTGCTAAGGACGCCTTGGTTTGTGCTGTCACACTGCAACATTCCCCACTTTGCTTTTATCTGACTCTGGCTGAATTTCACATTCATTTTTTGTCTCAGGTCTCGGCTCATAGAAACGACTACAGATCCAAACTACTGTAGAATCAAAACACTCTTCTGCAGGCTTCATCTTGAATGGGACAGTTCCATCAATTTCTAAATTCTTTATCAAAAGCCAGTTTTCTTGATGACCTCACAAATTTCAAACAAAAACCTGTCAGTTTTGCACCTATTGTTGCTGCATGTATTCCCCAAGAAGATTTCCAGTAAAGTTTCACAGGGTTCCTAGCCCACAGTTAGGAAAAAAAAATAAACATATAGCATGAAAATGTACAGATTTTAAAGGTAGTCTCTAAGCAGCTTCTCAGGCTTAACTCATATAAACTACACAACTGACCATAATTATAAAATATTCCAATTAGCAGCTGAAAAAACCTGGCAAAACACATTTCAAAGTGTAAGCTGAGACCTTTATAAAAATATTTGAGGTTCCTCCTCTTCCTGATA